AGCCCCGCAAACTCGGGAGACAGCGGGAGAGGCGCAGCGCGCCTTTGCCGCTGTCCCCCGACTTGGCTAGAAGGCTGGCGGGGGGAGAAGCCTGCTCCTCCCCGTCGCCAGCCCCGCAAACTCGGGGGACAGCGGGAGAGGCGCAGTGCGCCTTTGCCGCTGTCCCCCGACTTGGTTAGAAGGCTGGCGGGGGGAGAAGCCTGCTCCTCCCCGTCGCCAGCCCCACAAACTCGGGGGACAGCGGGAGAGGCGCAGCGCGCCTTTGCCGCTGTCCCCCGACTTGGCTAGAAGGCTGGCGGGGGGAGAAGCCTGCTCCTCCCCGTCGCCAGCCCCGCAAACTCGGGAGACAGCGGCAGGGGCGCAGCGCGCCCTTCCCGCTGTCCCCCGACTTGGTTAGAAGGCTGGAGGGGGGAGCCTGGTTTTGCGGGAGGCGGGGGAATCCCCCCGCCTCCCAGGAAAGCCAGGAGAAGCCATGCAGCCCTTTTAAAAGGCGCACGGCTTCTGCCGGTTTTGCGGGAGGTGGGGGAATCCCCCGCCTCCCAGGAAAGCCAGGAGAAGCCGTGCAGCCCTTTTAAAAGGCGCGCGGCTTCTGCCGGTTTTGCGGGAGGTGGGGGAATCCCCCCGCCTCCCAGGAAAGCCAGGAAAGCCCTGTGCAGCCCCTCCGCCAAGGAGAGGCTGCACGGGGCTAAAGGGGAAGCCAAAACAGCGAGCGGGATCCATCCCGCTCGCTGCCTTGGCTTCCTCCATAGCTGCGCACAACCCCTCTGCCAAGGAGAGGCTGCACGGGGCTATGGATTCTTTAGCCCACGCAGCCTCTCCCGGGAGGGAGAGGCTGCACGGGGCTAGGGGAAGCCAAAACAGCGAGCGGGATCCATCCCGCTCGCTGCCTTGGCTTGATCCATAGCTGCACGCAACCCCTCCGGCAGGGAGAGGTTGTGTGCAGCCTGTACGCTGCTCTTTGGGGCTGCGGGGGGAAAAAAGTTTTTTTTCTTGAATTCCCCCCTAAAAACTGGGTGCGCCCTATGGTCCGGTGCGCCCTATGGTGCGAAAAATACGGTAATGTAACATGACCCACTCCCCCAAAGGGTGCATGTATGTGACCTTTGAGAGAGAATTATATATAGATATGGTCCAAGATCATCAAGGAGTTCATCATTTCTAGAGGAAACTGCACCCCCCTCCCCACACATAAACATTAGCAAAATGTTTAGGTGAAGAGATGTGATTGCATGCACACATACACACACAGTCACACACATGTGCAATAATGAAGAACAAGCATAAAGTCTGCCTTAACACAGGTGCCTATTTTAAAACAGTATTTTACAGAAAATCATAATCATATTTGTTCAAAAGGTCTTGTTTAGCCACACACTAATGCACTCTACGTAATTCCAATTCAGCTGGTGCAGCTCTGGGTACAAGTACAGTGGTACCTCGGGTTGAGTACTTAATTCGTTCCGGAGGTCTGTTCTTAACCTGAAACTGTTCTTAACCTGAAGCACCACTTTAGCTAATGGGGCCTCCCGCTGCTCGAGCACGATTTCTGTTCTCATCTTGAAGCAAAGCTCTTAACCCAAGGTACAATTTCTGGGTTAGCGGAGTCTGTAACCTGAAGCGTATGTAACCTGAAGTGTATGTAACCCAAGGTACCACTGTACAGTCTTCCCTTCCCTTCTCACCCCCCACCCTGCCCTATAACATGATGAGATCTAGAGAAAGACCTACTGGCAGAAGCATTTGGGGTACACGTATGCCCTACATTCCTCTACTTGTCTCACCACTAAAAAAAGTTAAAGTACCCGTGAAGCACCTTATTTTTTGCTGATAAAGGACAAGTAGAAATATATCCACGGTATAAGGTAAAGGTAAAGGTAAAGGGACCCCTTACCATTAGGTCCAGTCGTGGCAGACTCTGGGGTTGCGGCACTCATCTCGCTTTATTGGCCGAGGGAGCCGGCGTACAGCTTCTGGGTCATGTGGCCAGCATGACTAAGCCGCTTCTGGTGAACCAGAGCAGCGCACGGAAACGCCGTTTACCTTCCTGCCGGAGCAGTACCTATTTATCTACTTGGACTTTGATGTGCTTTCGAACTGCCAGGTTGGCAGGAGCAGGGACTGAGCAACGGGAACTCACCCCGTCGTGGGGATTCGAACCACTGACCTTCTGATCGGCAAGCCCTAGGCTCTGTGGTCTAACCCACAGTGCCACCCGCGTCCCATGGTATAAGGTACTTGCTTACTAATGGGGTTTTTTATATCAGAACCCCCAACACAAATCAGTGTATTACATATGAAGCAAAAGAAGAAGACATGCCAGTCCTGAGAAGGCTGGACTGCCGTATAAAAATACACAGAAGATAAGCTAATGTAGAGTTATTTATCTGGGCAATTTATGTAACATAAACATTTAAAGAAAATTCCTAAGCAGTTTCATCTTTTTCACGAGACCCTATTCTAGTCTATCACTGCACAATTACTCATTATAATAGGCTCCTCTGGTCCCTTCAAGTATTCAAGATAGGACACTTTCACGCACAGTCTTTCATACACGCAAATCCACTTAGCATCAGAGATCTACCATGGCTCCTGCATTACTATAACACCTGCAACAGCTTCAGCTAAAAAGGTGTGGTTTCCTGTACACTTTAAAAGAAAAGAAAAGAAAAGAAAGAAATGCATTACTTTTCTCCATATGTGGGCAAAATGAATACGCTGATGCCCACACTGCAGTTCATATATTTTAAAATCAAGAGTCGTTTTTTAAAAACTGCTTACACATGCTTCCACAATTAGGTAATTCACAAGAAATGTGTTTTTGGCAGCAATCTACAACACAAAACACAAAAAGTATTTTGACAACAAATCCCAAGTAAACAATCATAGGAATGAATGGAGCTTAATGGGACTTACAGGTAAGCATGTATAGGACTGTCTGCAGTCATAGTTACCAACAACTCCTGTAGCTAACATACAACTGTTTACTTTTAAAGGGAAATAGACTGATGCTCTTACCCCCATAAATCTTATTGCCTATGAAGAGAAGGGCTTCAGGCAAGTTAATTTAGATTCTTAATTCATCCCACCTTGAAGACTTACGGGTACATAATAATATTTTAAATATAATAATAATAAACCCAAAGCATAATACAGTTCCTTTTAACCCCCTGATCTCTGCACCTGACAAGCCAAGCAGCCTGCTTAAAAGACTGCAGTCCCATAATATGTGTCTGTCTCATCAGGAAGAAATACCACTACCCAGTGGGACTTACAAACACCATTGCATGAATGCTTGCTTAGTAGTATCCTAAATGCCCAGTGACATGCATGAATATAAAATAGGTGGAAATGCACAGTCCATTTCAGGTATTTTTAAGATGACCAAATAGTGAGCTCATTAGTATGAGGGAGGGGGAGAGATGATTTCAAATTCTGTTTTCCATTGCACAAAGAGGTACTACCTAACTTTATTATGGTAATTTCATCCATAATATTGCTTTATATTGCCATAGAAGAGGCACATCCATATTTCTTCACTTTGTTAAAACTATAAACTGTAACATTGTAACAACTGGCTCTATCACCCTAAAGATCCTAACAGTTTGTGCTTTGGTCACATTTTAGCCAGTATCAATGCTGATTAACAGCAACACATTTTTCACCTGGTGCAAGTTTCACCTGGTGCAAGTTCATCAAGCTCATTCTGTACTCATGTTGCTGCTTTACCACTCCTAAAACCTGAAGACTAAGATGTATACATAAAACACAGTAGATTGAGCAGTTCAAAAGAGCAAAACTGCTACTATTTTTCTCTATGACACAGAACTGTTTTTTCACACGAAGTCAATGTCCTTATGCAACATTGCTAATTGTGCCTGTGTCATTTCCTCTTTCCCCTCCCCTCACCACACCATTTGTCCTAGAAGGACAGCTTCATTTCTCTGGCCCTCCCCCAAACAAAACACAAAACAGTAAACAGGGAACTTCTTGATGCTACAGCTTTATTCAGAAGCCGTGCCATGATTCAAGATTAGGACTACAGTATTAGCGCCCTTCTTCGAATGCTGTAGTTCAACATACAAAACCCAGCGATCGGCAACAGCTGCAAGTTCTTTTCTGGTTTAAAAGAAACCATATAGTAGCCTGTGTGTGGACGGCGTCATGTGGTTTTCGAGAACTGAGCAAACACACACACACAGAACCCTCACTATGAACACCAAGCTGTCTCAAGAACACAGACCACCTCTGGTGCGATTATAAACAGGATGTCAGCCATCTCCACTTCTGGTTGTTTGTCACCAAAGCGCAACGACGACTTGTACACGCGAGCTGGCTATGTCTGCAGAAGGGAAGGAAGCGGGTTTGCTTCTCCTCTCTCTCTTCTCTTTTTCTGCAAACCTCTGATCTCGTCGTACACATCCCCAGCAACAAGTCCACCCGTCATCCTGCCTCCATTTCTTTTATTTGGGGGTGGCCAACAGTCGAATTTATTGGCTTCTGCGAGACCCCCCCCCCACGAAGCCGCCTACCACTTAGTCCGGCCACCACCAACTCCCCGCCGAGCTTGGTGCCGCCTACTCTGGCCGGCAGCAGCAGCAGTTCTCGAGGGTTTCAATTTCCCCAGTCCTGCCTGTAGGGCGCCGGGGATCGAAAGCACCGTCCAAAGCAGCAGCCCTTCCAGGGAGCTCCAGCCATTGCCCCACTCTCCCGAGGGAGGGAGGCTGGCGGGTTTCCCCTTCCCAAGGCGGTCCCGCCTCTTGCGCTGAGTCCCCACCCTTGGAAAAGCACCGCGGGGGCTGGGGGAGAGCTTTGTGGGCAGGAGCCCCCGAGCCCTGTTCCACAAAACGGGCAAGCGCGACCCCCAAGCTGGGCGGGCCAGGCTTCTAGGATGGCAAAAGAAGAGTCACCCCCCGGGGGGGGGACGCCATTCACCCCGCAGCGCCCCGGGGTAGGAGGAAAAGAGGGCTCCTTTCTCGCCCTGCGCCCCTCGACGTACTCACCGCTTCCATGGGCGCCTCCCTGGGCGAAAGGGGTTCCGCGCTGCTGCCCGACCTCACTCCCTGCCCCACATACTTTCCTCTCCGGCTCTCCAGCCAGAGCAAGGAGGGTGGGGGAGAAACGCGGGGCTTTCCAGGCTCCGACCCCAAGGGGAGTAGAGGTCCGCTCCCGCCCACGCAGGATGGCGACAGACCCACTGAACCCGTCCGCTCCTCTCGCCGACGGCTGACTGAGGAAGCAAGCCAGCTGCGCCGAGCCAGTGCGCAAGCGCCGGGGGGTTGCCCAGCGCAGGCGCACTGAAGTTTCCTCAGCCTTCGCTACGTTTTCGGTCTGGCCCGCCCCTTGTGTGCGTGTGTGGTGTTTTTTTAAAGTGACGTATTGTTCTGCAAGCAGGGGTGGGGGTGGCTGTTGCTGGAGTCCCTTTCTCGTGCTGCCACCCTCCGAACCTCTCCAGGAGGAGGCACACGAAGAAGGGCCCCAGAATATGATCTCAGAGTAGGTTCATAAGGAAAGAGACAGTCCTTGAAGTATTGCCGTCCTAAGGCTTCACAGGTCAAAAGCAGCACTTTGAATTGGGCCCAGAAACTAATTGGTAGCCAGTGCAGTCGGACCAGGATCAGTATAATATGCTCAAAGTGCTTTGCTCTGGTGAGCAACCTGGCAGCTGAATTCTGCACCAGCTGTAGTTTCCGAACTGTCTTCAGAGGCAACCATAGCTGTCAACTTTCAGATTAGAAAATAAGGGATCAGCAGCCTCACCTGTCCCTGGGACAGTCTACGGGATATCTAACAATCAGGATAGCAGCGGGAAGCAGCGGGAAACGGCACTGGAATAAGGGAATTTCCCGCAAAAAAAGGGAAGGTTGACAGCTATGTGTATGACACACTGCAGCAATCTAACCTTGAGCTTAACAGAGCACAGACAACAATAGTTAGGCTATCCGTGCCCAGATGGGGCGTAGCTGGGCCACTGGGGCCATCTGAACCTCGTGAGACAGCAGAGGATCCAGGAGTATCCCCAAGCTATGAGCCTGCTCCTTCAGAGGAAGTGCAACCCCACAAACAGCAGGCGATCTCCCACCCATCCGGTCTAGGGAACCACCCACCAACAGTGCCTCTGTCTCATCTGGATTGAGTTTCAGTTTGTTGGCTCTCATCCAGTCCATTACCGGGGCAAAACACTTCCACTTGCCTCACCTGCAGATGTAAAGGAGAAACAGAGCTGAGTGTCATCAGCTGATGTACTCCAAACCTCTGGATGATAACCTCACCCAGTGGTTTTGTGTAGATGATAAACAACATACGGGATAGGACTGAACCCTGCAGAACCCCACATTGAAGGTTCCACAGGACTGAAAAGCATTCCCCAGGCAACAGGCTCTGGGAACAACCATCCAAACAGGACTGGAACCACTGCAAAGCGGTGCCACCCACCCCTAGTTCGGACACTCACTCTAGAAGGATAGCATGGTTGATGGTATCGAAAGCTGTTGAGCGGTCGAGAAGAATTAACAGAGACATGTTTCCCTTGTCTCTCTCTTGACAAAGGTGATCTTACAGGGTGACCAAAGCAGTTTCTGTGCCAAAACCAGCCTAAACCCCGATTGAAATGGATCCAGAAAATCAGTTTCTTCCCAAAGCATCTGGATCTGGTCTACAATCTGTACCTAGATGGAGGGCGGAGTGGTAGCTAGTGAGGCGGGGGGCACTGGGTGCCACACTGCAGGGGGTGGCGTTTACTGCACCAGAGCCATGCATCTTTCCTGGGAGTAACAGGGTGGCTCAGGCACCTGCAGGCTCCATGCTGCCCGAAACAGCAGTGTGGGCAGGCCTCCCCCTCAGCCACTCTGAAGTTGGGGGAGATGTGGTGGGTGGCAGCGGCGTAGCGTGGGTTGTCAGCACCCGGGGCAAGGCAAGTAATTTGCGCCCCCTAACCCCTAACCTGCCGCCGCTGCCAGCTTCTTGCTGCTGCCTGGGCTGGGGTATTTACGGTAAAGTAGCCACGGCGGCGGGTCCGTGTCAGGTGATCTGAGGCGAGTTGCCGCTGGCGCTGCCGCCCAAACGATGCCGCTTGCCCGGAGGAGGAGGAGGGCAGAGAGGCAAGGAAAATGCAACATGGCCCAGCAGCTGCAGCAGCAGCGGCGGCGGGGCTGTGAGGAGGGGCTGCCTGGCGCGCCTTCTGCGGCCCTGATGCGCAGGGACCGCGGCGAGTGCTGAGAGCCGCTGCCAGCTCGTTGGTTCCGCGAGACATGGGGCTCTGCTACAGCCTGCGCCCGGGGCTCTTCGGCGACTCCGGAGGCGGCGAGTGCTCCCCCCAGATGTTGCGCCCGGTGCGGCCGGCCCCCCCTCCTGCACCCCCCACGCTACGCCACTGGTGGGCGGACGGACTCTGTACTGCTTGAAAAAGCAACGGCGCCTGCACCACCCTGAGCGCCCAAGCAGCTAGCTATGCTGCTAATGGAGGGATTGCAGAGCATTCACATCCTATGAAGGTCTGGCTTCCACCAAAGGAGCAGCATTGGATTCAAAGGACAGCAAAAAAAAGGGGGGCATCTTCTATGTCTCTTTGTTCAAGCCTGTCATTCTGCTCCTAGGACCTCCTCCTAACCTACCTCCTTCAAAGTTGAAAACCTAAACCTCTGCCCACTAACACCCAGCAGAGCAGAGGCCCCATGCCCCCTTGGCTGAGAGTCATACCCTAACAGCTCTTCTGCCTTTATTACTAACAGCTTGCACATTTTAAATAGTGAGCATGTTTGTGCAATTGTTACACAACACCACTTTCTTAAACAGATGGGTTAAAGAGGAGGCATTTGTAAAGATTCTTATCAGTGTATATCTTGAGAAATTATCTAATGATGCCGGACCCAGTGTAGTTAATAGAATTTTTCTACAATCAGTCATTGTTTGAGTGACAAAAAAAAACTAGAAAGCTGATATAGAATAAACAACCCTAGAGGTTAACTGACTCAGAATGAACTTCTAGTGATTTTCTCATCCTATAAACGGAGGCTGTGTATATATTACCATTTACTCCAGCTCCAGTGGTGTTTGAAGCCAAGTACACATAGCATTAGCCACAATCCACATGCATCCAGTGTGTGCAGTAATGTAAAAATGTGACCTGAAATACAAGTTGGGGGGGGCATCTTCGCAGATGGAGACCCTTCAACAAATATGAAGGATAAGAGATTTTAAGCAGCAAAATAACTGGCTAACAGCATGTTCCTAACCATTTCTACTCAGAAGTAAGTCCTACTGACTTCAATGGGGCTCACTCCGAGTTAAATGGGGTTAGGATTGCTTAAAGCTGAAAGTTCCCAAAGAGATTAGATAAAACAATCTGAAGTTATAATGGGATAAGAGATAGTATGTACAAATATGCATTCATCTATCACTGCCTGAAGAAGGCACTCAAAAGCAAAATGGAAAATGAAGATTAACATTCCCAGGTAGGAAGTTCAAGCATCAGTGAATACTATAGGAAATTTATGGAATAATACATACCATGGCATCCTTTCTGAAGTGATAAATCTTATACTGGATACCCTGAACTAAACCCAGTTTAGCTGGCACATATACAACCAAATATGTAACCGAATGGCAGAATAGCATGGATTGCACAAATCAGTCAATGTTTTTTGTATTTATATATTATTGCTATTTGTGTTCTGCTTTTCTGTCCTGCAGCGGGTCTCAAGAGATAATGAGTTGGTCAGCAGGGGGAAATAAGCCACAGACAAAGGGGGAGGCAAGGATTGACTCAGTCTTGCCATAAAACATTATGGCACCAGAGTTGATGAGAACTAAAAATTGCCAGCTCCCATCTCTATGTCAAACAACAAGAAGAAGCCAACTGTATGGACCCAGAGCAGGGCACATTTTTCATTTGAGCTACAAGGTTGAATTTGGTCCCTGGTTCCCAGCTCATCATCAAACAACAGGGAAGACTCTTCTTCAGGTGTTTTCTAACGCCTTCACTGTAAAATAAGAACACATAGAGAGAGAGATGTTTGGACAGGGTAGATCTTCTAGACAAGGGAAGGGCAAAATTGAGCGGCAGGGGAATTGTTTAGCAGTGTTCAGTAAGATTTTCTCCTTTTTCCTGCAAATGACACCTACTGGCACTGGCAGAAACTCAACAGATGCAAAAGGGGTGTGTGAGTTTGTGTAGTGCAAGAGCATTTTACCAAGCAGAAAAAGCAGACAGCAATGCTTGTGGTATAAGGTGTGCAGAATGCAGTACTAGGATTTAGAAGTATACACCTCCACCCTGTTCTCCCACCTCAGGCCTTGGGCCAAGCTTAGGAATCCTACAGCTCTGTCGAAATCGGCCTCCCAGATTCTGGTGCCCTTCGGACATTTAATCGACCCCAACTCAAATTGTTCCAGGCCACATGCCACGTTGGCTGGTACTAATAGGAGCTTAAGTTCAACATCATCTGAAGGGCGCCAGCTTGACGAAGGCCGCTCTGGAGAAAGCCCTGGTCTGGTCATCCATAGGCGGAGATGCTAAACCTGAGTAATCCACATCTTTTCTAGGACAGCAAACGGGAGCTAGTCTCCTCTCTCCCTCGTTTTTTCCACCTATGTTCCATAGACTTCGCCTCAGCTGCACGACACGTGCAGAAACGCGCATCCTTTTCGTTTTGTTTTCTCGCCTCTGCGTTTGGGTTTGGCCCGCTCTCTCCAGCGCGGCTGCACCGCTTGCAGGCGGATGGTCCGTTTGTTCTCCCGCCAGGGCGTTGCAGAGCCGGCCTGGGCCCTTGCTGATGCCAAGCGCAGAAGACGATGCTCCCTAGGACCCGGCAGCTGCAGTGAGCCAGAAGAGGAAGAGGCCGGGCGGAGCCTCGCAGCCCTCGGTGCTGCGTGTACGCCGAGACGTCACTGCTGGAAAGTGGAAGGTGGGCGGAGGAGGCGGGGAGAGAGGGCTTTACCGAAAGTGGACTGCGCTTGGCGGGGGTTTGGATGTGATATCCTGGAATTCCCATCAAGTATTGATTTGGTTGTGAGATGAATAGCTCAGGTTTCATGCGTGCCACTAACTTTGTCGTGTCTCCCCGCTTGCCTCGAGTCCTTTGCTGGTTTTCAGAGTGGGGATCAATCCTGCGCTTGCTAACCTTTCGCGAGGACCTGAGCCCTGCCGTCTTCTCGCCGCCGGAGGGGAGGGGTGTGCGCGCGCGGTGCGGGAACGAGCATTACTCACGGCTCTTCCTGGAAAGTCAAGGTTGGAGCAGTAACGATGGCCGAAAAGAG